AATCATAAAAAATGAGAGTAGTATTTACCAGTTTCTGTCTTATCTTGAAGTGGAAGAGAGAGTTGCTTTTTACTAATGAATATATGTCCACATGGACATGACTTGCAGGCAACTGGAAGCTGTAAAAATAGTATATCAAATGTGATGCCACAAACAGTAGTACGGCAACAAGAAAGAAATAGGGGTAGGGTGGTTGCATTATAAAATGCTGAAAATTAATGTGACCAATCTAATATTACACTCAATATTTGTTTTTATAAATATCTTCAAATTAATCAATGATCTTCAAATATCCTACAGATAACCTATATTTGATGATAGAAGCTTCCAGCATCATGAACAATGAAGCAAATATTTCAGCGCTGTTAAATATTCAAAATACTATATTTTAGACATAATATCATAATGTACTTATCGTAAAACACTTTTTGTATATCATATAAATTTGAAATTACCACAATTTTGCATTTTTGGCATTCTTGTATGAAGTTCCTCAAACAAGGGTGTGATATTTCATATCATGACATCTTCTTTCAGTGATGTTGTTGAATTCTTTGAAATGTTGCATTGATTCAAGGACAGTGTTGATTCAAGGGGAGCATTTTCATCTCAATAGGTTATATAGAAATTGTTACAATACGTGACATATAAATCATGTTGAGGTATAGTAATTGAATTAGTTACTGTTGTAACAAGTAAAGATTAATTCACTGCAATGACAAGAACTTTTATTTTGCTGACACAATAAACATAACAGATAAAAAATATCCTAAATAATAAGCTCACTATAGCACATAAATGAAACAAGCATAATGATTATTCAAATAAATGATCATTTTTTTATGTTTTGACTTTCATTTGTTGCTATACATCAAGATTTCATTACTAGTAAGATTTAAAGTAAGAAAATAACAAAAATAGTAATATAGATACTCTAAGAAGTGTATAAGAAAAAACATTATAAAAAGAAACTGGGCTTTCGGCCTTTACTTTGCAAGATTAAAATAAGAATATTTAATATCAATATTACATCTACGTCCCTTTTTATAACCTAAGCTTAAGTTTTATATCTCTTTCTTTGTCAAAATAATGCGATAAATTAAGCAAAATCGCAATAAAATTATGAAAGGCTATTTAAAGTGATTCACTCTGTACTTTACCTTTTTTTGGTTTCAAGCCAAAACAATTTGTCATAACGAAAATCCATATTTAATCAAAAACGAGCAATTTACACTTACCGTTTGGTCGCAATCTGGACATTTCTTTGCAACCATTTCTRRCCAATGTGCAAAGACAGCCTTTTGATAAATTCTGTGGCTAAAATAGCCAAACAAAAGGAAATATTTCGGCTAGTTTCGCCAGCCGCTTGTAGCGTGATTTCAGGGACGCTTGCAAAAACGAGAGACACTGGAACTAACAACACGAACACGAGGAAGCGAGTAATCAGTAATATCGGGAATCCCGCGGGATTTTTGCGGGTTGCGTAGGTGGGGAAAACAGATATTTGATGACGTACTCAAGTAGAAGGATTAGATCATCATCGGTGCTTTTACCATCTGCCAACAAGGCAAAATTTTCGACACTACATAATTGTTGTTAATTTGTGTAAATCAAATGAAATTTTTCCTGTTTATAAATATATACAAGAACTATGAAAATACTGATCCAGGCCCGTCTGAAAATCAGGCTATGCGTATGCAAAATCTGAATTTCCCAAGTGTTATACCTGAATGTAGTTGCAGAGAGTGCAAAAAAATAAGTTGTCCTATTTTCATAGTGATATTTCCTCAAAAAGCATTCTAGAATAAGCTGTTAATGTTGTAAAACTCAAGCGACATAATTACCCAACATGCAACATATCGTCACGTCAAACTCTCCACGTGTCCAAAAACTTCGAAAACAAAAATTATGCTCAAGAATGCAACACAACAGTTTTAAGCCATAAAAGAACGAATCCCTAACGACTCAAACCATTGCAAACCAGACGAACAGAAGCAACAACCAACGCAAGAAACTTAAAGTTTCAGTCTTACTAACTGCAAGATGGGGCTGTGGTTTTCTAAAATTTTGAATGTGCTTTCTGAGCTTGGACATAGCCAAGCAAGAATTTTGCTTCTTGGATTAGACGCTGCAGGAAAAACGACGATTCTTTACAAGCTCAAGCTAAATGAGACAGTCACTACCATCCCAACGATTGGTTTCAATGTAGAGACCATCACGCCAGTGAAAAACCTGACACTTACAGTATGGGATGTCGGTGGCCAAGAGAAGATCAGACCTCTTTGGAGGCACTACTATCAAGGGACAAATGGTCTAATATTCGTGATTGACAGCTCAGACATCTCAAGATTTGCTGAAGCAAAAGAAGAGTTCTATGGAATTATCGATCAACCTGAGTTTGCTGGAGTTCCTGTGCTTGTGTTTGCTAACAAACAAGATCTTCCAAATGCAATGAATGCAAGCCAAATCATGCACCAACTCGGACTTGTAACTCATAAAAAGAATCCATGGCATGTCCAGGAAACGTGTGCGCCAACAGGAGATGGATTATATGAAGGTTTGGAAAAACTTGTCAAGATGGTCAAAGAATTCAAGAAAAACTCTCCGCCGCAGATGGGCTTTTAAGCATAGACTATCATTGAACTTGAGCAGGGGCTTTGTTCAAAGTTGGTGCGCTTCACATAAGCGCAATATTACCCATTGGAAGTATATTCGATTATGATACCAAAACTTTAAATTTATAGTAGCCAAGAATTGTTGTCGTTGTTTTTTTTAATGTTTTTACTTATACAGTACGCACAATGCGCTTGCCAGTGGAATAATAGGCACTGATTGTAAATATGTCATGCAAAAATACGAGCTGCACACCATTTTTCATCAATAAAAATCAAAAACTATGTTTCCTTTGTTAATATTATTTTTTTTCGTAGTGTTTATATTACTTCAGCAAATGATCTTCATTGCGTTACTTTTACACTATCCTCCCCTCCCTCAACAATACATATTTCAAAACAATGCACTCTGGGAACAAGGTATGAGGGGAATGCAGAGTTTGAACATGGCGGCTACATCTCCGTCTGGTTCACTTGAGATCTTCACTAAAGATGGATGGCAGAGAGTGGTAGCTACTCTAGATGACGATCTACTCACTCTTAATGTTGAGAATACTCCTACCACGAATGGAGAGGCCGAAACTCCGCCATCGCCGCGAAAGACCGAAGCAAATGACCGAACAGAACCTCCAGAGAGCATTGCAAATGAAATCCGTACCGTACGTGTTATCAAACAAGAAGTAGGTGGACTCGGTATAAGCATCAAGGGAGGCAAAGAAAACAGGATGCCTATATTGATATCAAAGATTTTCAAAGGTCTAGCAGCTGATCAAACAGAAGGCTTGTATATTGGGGATGCTATTTTGGCGGTAAACGGGGAAGACCTTCGGAACGCAACACACGACGAGGCAGTCCGTGCTCTCAAACGTGCCGGTAGAGAGGTTGATCTTACTGTCAAGTATGTGAAAGAAGTAACTCCGTATTTCCAACGAAATGCTGAAATTTCTGATCAAAACTCTGAAGGGAAAACGAACAGTTTGGGGAAACCCTCTTGGAGCGAAGTAAAAAATATTCCATTAAAACTGAGTTTTGTGACAAGATTTGTATCTTCGAAGATAGAAAATCCAGGGCGAGCTTTGGAACTGTATGCTCCAGACGGTCGTTCGGCGTGTATTTTGAGAGCCAAGGATGGTTTGTCTTTACAGGAATGGTTTAATGCGATTCATACAAACATTTCAAGGCTGTTAGCTCCAGGTAAGGGTTCAAAACACGACAGATTTTAATAGCAAGTTGACATAACCAACTCAAATGGCTTCTCTATTTCACGTGTGCTCACTTCTTTAAGAAGATAAGAACTCTTTGTTAATGTTTTTCATGGAATCTTATCTACTATTGTCTATGTGAGTATGTTTTTCTTTCTAATCGACAAACACACACTCGACTTTATCGTCATTTACTGTTGTGCACCTTGAGTCATTTCCTACCCTCCTCACTTAAGAATTTACCAAACAATATTTCTTACACAGATGATTTCCTTGTGTTGAAATATTTCAAAAACAGTTAACATGTTTTCATTTTGTTGTGGACGTCATTATGTTTGAGATAACATAAAATACTCATACGTTAGGGTGAGGTTTTGCCTTTGTCTTTTCGCTTCGGGGGTTTTTAAACTACATGTCAAACTAACATCTCATTCGCCCCAAACGAACACATATTTGTACTTGTTGTGTACAATTGCAAGACTGTATCAATAGCTAAATATCGTTTGAGTGATTTATTGTGAATGAAAAACCTAATTGGAATACAGGAAATGATACTTTGTTCTAGAAGAATGTAAAAATCGGTTTTGTTATGGTAAATTCTTTGATTGTTTATAAAATACCTGAACAGATACAATCTGGAACACATCGAACTGGTTTGCTAAGTGAAAGATGCAAAAGATATCCTAATTGCGAGAGATAGCAATGTTTTTTTATGTATGGTCAATGATTCGAGAAACTGAATTTGTTACGATCTCTGAGGGCTCTTAATAAAGTACAAATATTCATAATTGAACAGATGTGTTCTAAATATAATTTTACATCAAATTGAATATTTTATGTTCTAGATCTTACGACATATATTCGTATTTACAGTGAATTTAGTGGATTTAATTAAACCCATTAAATATGAATTGAGCCCAACTCAAAGTCCAGTATATTACATTATTTTACTACTACTAAAGTCAAACAAATTATGATTGGTTTAGGCCGAGTATGATATGAAGATTTATACATTCTACTAAGAGTTATAGGTGAATAACAGCCTCTAGAATTCTCCACATTAGAGGTTATTTCTTTTAACGACCATGAAGTTACCTGCATAATACAGTATGCTATTTGAGCTAAATTTACTAGATCATGACTGTGTAAGATGAAATCTATAAAATGTTGCATATCTCTCTTTTTCTGTTGCTTCGTCAAGATAATTGCTATCCCACATCACTTATAATACAATATTGATTACAAAAAGAAATAGATTTTTTTTCTATGGTGATTAATATCAGTTATGAATAAGAGCAGTCATTACAACTGCAAGGTGCGTTTTCAATCATCTGTGTGTTATACATTTTTAATGAAATAGATGAGAAAAAGAGCATTGTCATTCATGAATCAATAAAGTTAGGGAGCATTCATTAATAATCTCTTACTTTAATCTGTTGGGCCATAGAAGTTGTGTAACTAAGTTAAAATAAATTGAGCCATTACAATGATATTTTTATCATTTTCTCTTTTCACACAATTCATGCTAAAATCCTGTCTGTTTGTATTTTTCAACTTTGAATATGTCAAAATATGCACTTTTTCAGCCACAGAAGAAGTCAATGAAATGCTGAGCAGTAGTGTTGGATATCGTGAAATAAAGACAATGGGATGGCTTAGTGAACAGGTCCATCTTGGAGGAGACAGCAGTAGGATGGACTGGAAACCAGTCTTCATGGCTTTAACAGAAAAAGATATGTTATTATATGAATCTGCACCATGGTCTAAAGAGGACTGGAGTGCACCCTACCTTAGTCACCCCCTTTTAGCAACTCGGTGAGAAATTGATTTTACTGTAATGAACTTGTCAGTTTTTAAATAATAATAATAATAATAAACTTTATTTATGTGTCAGATTGATCTAGCTTACAATAGTAAGGCTAATTGGGGACACAATTCAACATTCACTAATGCTATAAACATTTGAGTAAAAAGAGGCTAAAATAATGAATCAAATGTGTTTTCGTAGGCTTGTTCATTCAGGTCATGGCAATAACCACATCCAACATCAAGATCTTTGTTTTGGGACAAGAACAGGATCAAGGAAAGGCGTTGAAGCTCACTTATTTAGAGTTGAAACTCAAAGAGAACTAGCTCATTGGTCTAGAAGCATCGTTCAGGGTGCTCATGATGCTGCAATGCTTATTAAAGAAATAAATTGTGGTGAGGAACTATGATTTGCTTGCTTAACTGAAAGGTTTATTTTTTAGTCCAGTTTGCTCTAAGGAATGGTTATTGATAGTCTAAAATCTTGCCAACGCATTTCATTGATATCTGTTTTCCTGGAATGATATCCTACAGCTTTATATGTTTTACCTTTCTAACAAGAACAAATGTACATGTAGTCATTTTAATTAGGTTTGTGTAGTATGCTGGATGCAGTTTCTCAGTAAAAATATCTCAAAGTCGACTCCCACATCCTTTTTGGTGTTATCTCCCAGAGCTCAATATTGTTCTGCGTAATGACACCAGAAATGGATGCAAAAGAGTCTAACCCAACCGAAACCACTGTATGACATTGTGTTTTATCTGTCAGCTGTTACATGGCATGGACAAGAAGCTCGCCTTACAATTCACTATGAGAATGGCTTGACTCTTGCTGATGCCAGAGGATCTGACAATGGCGTAAAGGCCCAGGTGTTTTGGTATTTTCCATTTGAGAGGTTGAAAATGTCAGCAGATGATGGACATCATTTGTTGTGGTTGGATTTTGGTGGTGAAGATGGAGAACAGGTTGGTACTCATTTGTTTTTAACTATGCAATTAACCTTGTACAGTGCTCATTTTGTCATACAAAGAAAATAGAATTGTTGCTTTGTTTTCTAGGAGCTTGATCTCCATGGTTGCCCAAAGCCTGTTGTGTTTGTCCTTCATACATTCCTATCTGCAAAGACAACTCGCCTTGGTTTGTTTGCATAACCAGATCAATATCAACAGCAGTAATATGACGATGCTTTGAAAGTTGCTTTAGATTGTTTAGATGATTATAAGCAGCATCATTGGAAACCATGCTTCAGCAGTCAATGATAGCAGTCTGAGAATATTGCCATTAATATTTCCATGCTTTCTGAACAGTTCCTAACTCAGTTATTGATGTGAAGTGGTCAAATGTGCCAGTTTGTCTTGAACTGTCTGTAATAATGGCAAGTTCGCAAAGAATATATAGGTTTTACAAGGCACTTCTAGAGAGTATTTTCATAAAAACTGTAATACACATTTAACCACAGTGTTGTGTCGATTGACAAAGATTTCTTTGCTCTTGCAAGAACTGATATTGAAAATATACTCAATCTAGTCAAAGTGCAAATATATACCAGAATATTCTATTAAAACAAACACATTTTTGAATAGAGATGCAATGGTGAGAAAACTGATTTACTTTTGCAAGTTAAAACAGAGCAGACAAATGTACAAAGATTTCTTTAGATTTAACCTTGCAAATTAGGGTATTTTTGAAATTACTTTATTATTTAACCCATCTAATTACTATTTAGACATTGTTTTCTTATTAAGAACAAATTGTTACTTAGCAAATACATCAAAGTCTAAATATTGATTTTGTTTTGTGACCAATGGTGATATGGTTGTTCAACTAACCAATCAAACTATGTCACCACAAGAAACCAACAATACTTGTGATTAGGCAATACAAAATCATTGGATTTCTTTAACAGTTTATGTGGTTTTGTATTTTTTTACACAGCAAATTATTTGGTGTTGTACACTTAGTCCAATCAATTACCAACTAAACAATCTTTGCTCAATCATATATCTATATCTCACAAAAAATACTTCATTGCTAGTTAAAAACAATGGGAAAGTATTTTGCAATTCACTTGTCATTTGAGCTGAAAATTGTCTTATCACTAATTCTAGAAGATGTACAACTCAACAAATATTTGTTGTAATAAAAAATAGGAAACAAAAAAATATTATTCCTCAGAATTCTACAAATATACACAATAAAGATTAAGCTGTATGTTTTCTGATAACTGTAAATCTTAGTGATTGCTATGTAAGGGCAACTATATTATGAAGTCCATAGCATGTTTATAAGTTATGTTAATGAGAATGTAAAATTTCTGCCAAAAAACTCTTGGTTGGCCTTAAACCAAATGGTGAATATGATATTATGCTCAAGTAGCTTATTTTAAGTTGTTATAAATCATGCAATCAAAGGAACTATTGACAACAGTATAATTAWTCACTTGTAAGCAATATTCCTTTGWGTTTCAAGTATTTCAATTTAAATATATATATGAAAACACATTTAATCCTTTCTCTGAAGAGATTTCAGAAGGAAGTGTGTGTGATAATGTATAGATATCTACAGCCCTTTGCAGGGAGACATTTTGTAATTGGTCTGGTTTGAAAATAAAGATTATTTTGGATAAAATGATGTGGTTGATCATGAATGTACATAAAGGGTCATTKWGTGCTTGAAATGCCAGTCTATCACTGCTGGCCTTGATGATGATCAGATCCAGCAACACAATATTTGATTTTGAGACTTCCTTTTTATGGACTTCCTAGTTTGAGAAGKSGGAAATGGAATTGACYAACCATAAACGTTGACAATTTCATCCACTAAAAGATGAGATACAAATAAAACAATTGAAAACAGACAAAATACAGTTATGCACAAAAAATGCTTTTGATAAGAGCATTTTCAAGTGTAGGAGATAATACTCAATTGTTTCATTGAAACAAACGGGTATTTTGGTACTTGTACTCTGACATGACCCACAAGAGGTACCTCCCATTTTTCTTCATCAAAATAATGAATAAATTTTCCAATTTATTCTTAAAGTAAAACATATTTAATAAATTCAATTGAGCCACATAAAGTCATTCATTATGTACAAGATACTGGTTCTGTGTTAATGTGTATCTTTTGCCTTGATATATCTCAGTCCACAGTAACCACATGAATGGGGACCTTCCGGATCCTGTTCAAAACAATATACAACATTAAAATAAAAGACCATCATGTCATGGATATCGTCCAAGGTCCAAACAACGAAGTAGTGTCTAATAACAGAACACCAACAAACCAAGCCTTTGCGGACCTTTGAACAATTTCTTTTGCAATGTAAAAATACTATCAGACATGAGAATGGTTAAAGGGTCGTTGGGTTATCCAACAATGTTCAATAGTGGGGTAGAGAAATACAAATAGAAAACTTTCCTGTCTGTTCTTCCTTTAGTTAAATAGCAAATATTGATTGCCAATAATGAACTTTTCTTCAAGCTTTTTTTTTGTCTAATTCAATAACTTAAATTGACATGTATAGCAAGTTATAACTATATATTTTCAAGCACAGCTGTAAACTGCACTCTTGCCAAACAATCTTTTAAACAGGCAATGTATTATAAACAATAAGTGACGCTGATGAATAACAAGCAACTCACCAGGTTGATATATACTTTTGGGTGTCCAAGGGCACCTCCACCTGAAAAACAGTTTTTTAATCATTTTTTAACACCCATCTCAAATTCCCCTTTGATAGAATAAGCTTTATGAATATATTGTGCACTAATCTTAGATGCTCTCACCTCCATCACAATGGACACTCCTCCCTTTCACTTCAATTGGAGGCTCTTCAGCAACAAGGTTGATACTAAAATTCATATTCACCTTTAAGCAAATAAAAATCAAAGGTTCAGCATTCACTAGCACTCAGTATTTGCTTACACAGGGAGAAACATTGTCCGACCAAACACAGCTTCCATTTATATCTGTAAGTAAAACTTAAATATCATCATCAGTTCTAAGTGCAATAGTTAGGATCCATGTTTTCAAACTAACCTCTTTGTTCCTATCAGTGAATCGTGCATTCCTATAATCTTTCTCATCCCAAACCTACAACAACAAAACTTGCTTGCATTTTTTCATCATAGCCCTGAATTTCTGGACTGATTTTATCCATGTTTTACGCGACAATAACAGAATATACCTGCCCAGTGTGCGTCACAGTATCCTGAGTTGCAAATGATCTTGCATTTGAAGGAATAGCAACTACAGAACGTAGGCTAATTCTGGTTACAGCACGACCGACTGATCCAACTCTACACATGAGAGCCGCCATTTTGAAACACTACAAATCTACCATGATCCTTTGCTAATTAACAGTCCACGATATCCTAGTGCAGCGGTTATTAAAAATAAACAAAATGGCGGACACCAAGAGAAAATCAAGGAAAAGAAAAACAAGCGAAAAGGAGAGTGAAGAGATTGAAAAACTTAAACACCGCGAAACTTTGTAAGTTTACTTTTACAATAATCATTCTGTGGATTCATTTTTTGTTTGATYAGCTGGAAAGGCTTGAGAATTGAAGTGTTTGGTTTGATATTCCTTTCAGCTATGAGCAGCCACCGCCTGCATACATTAAGGTGAGAAAACTACTTCTACTTGAATAAAGAATATGCTATGAGTATTTTAGATTGACACCAGTTGACTTATTTTTTAGGAGAATGATGAAAAACCAGAAGATTGTATTCCAGATCTTCCAGAGAACCAGGAAGCAAGAAAGTTCCTTGCAGAAGCACCTAGCAAGGGATTATGGATGCCATTGGGGAAAGAAGTCAAAGTCATGAAATGTAATGCAATTATGTGTTATTTGTAGACTGACTTTACACTGACTGGTTCATAGATTGATTGATTAAATGATTATTGGATACTTTACAGCGCTGCAGCTACAATGAGACAAGCAAGCCCCCCTACATGAGACACCTCCAGTAGTCATGTAAAGTGCCTCAGTTAACATATTCCTCTGGCTGCTGCGCTGAATTATTAACTAATAGATTGAAAGTTAAACTACAGATTGTTTAAGCATGATTCTGCCTCTCTATTGTCAGACTTCTCTATTGTCAGACTGACATCATCTGAGGATATTATTGATTCATTATTTTATAATGCACTTTTCTCACATATATTTCAACATTATCTCAGGCTGGAGGTGCAAGGCATATGGTCATAGAACTGGAGACAGAGAATGTCCAATGTTTATAAGTGGAAACATGTCATCAGAAAAATTCAGAATTGTGAGTTTTCCATGACATGCACTTTGTATGGTGAATGATAAAGTGATAACTTTAGTTTGATTTTTAATATTCAAGGCTCATGAAGACCCCATGTATGAAGTGATAAAGGCAAATAAGAGGGAAGAAAAGGAAAAAAGGTTTGTTTGTTTTACACTTTGAAAAAAAATTAATGAATTGCTGGAGATTTTTCTTTTTCTGAATTGTATATTTACAGAGTTGCTCTCCTGAAAGCACTGTTAGAGGAAACAACTACTTCAGAAAGTGACTCTGATTCTGACTCAGACCATTCAAGAAAGAAGCACAAAAAAGAGAAAAAGGAAAGAAAAAAGAACAAAAAAAGCCGCAAAACAAAAAAGCACAAGTATCACAGGAGCTCAAGCAGTGATAGTAGTGACAGTGATGCAAATAATGCTAAAATACACTCCAAGAAAAGATGTAGAAATGACAGTGAAAGTAACAGTGACTCTGAAAGAAAAGACCACTCTAAAAAACATAATTCCAGTCAAAAATATGACAAAAACATAGATGTTAAACAGGACAAAAAAGAAAAACATCACAAGAAGAAATATCATGATGACAGTGACAATAGCTTGAATTCTGATAGAAGAGACAACTCCAGAAAGCAACATTATAGAAAATCCGATGAAGATAAAACTAGAAGAAGTACAAAAGATCACAAGAAGCATAAACATAAGAGAAGGCATGATAAAAGTGATAGTGATTCTAGTCCAGACAGATACCAACAATCCAGGAAGAAGGACAAGACTAGGGATTGCTGATCAATATTTATTTATTAGTAAATAGCACTGAACATCAGATTTTTGTATCTTCTTTGTAATAAAATAGCAGAGAATTATGATTTGTGATTGTTGTCACATGGTCGGTTAACCTTAACTGCTGCCCCTCTTACTGTCATGCACAGTTGTCAGCAATCCCATATAATCATGTTATTTTCCTACCTACAAGGAAGTTTGCAAGAGGTTTCTTCTATAGCATATGATTTGAAAAGCCATGCATTTTTTCCCTTAGCAACTTTTCAAACTCATTATTTATTAGAGGTAATCATCCAATCCAGTGTTCTGGTTAARTAAACTGCCATTCCACACAACTTGGCAACCCATACGTAAATCAACAATGGATATACATGTTTCATGTGTATGTTGATGTTTTGCTTGGGATACCTGTGCATGGCGTTTTTCCCTATGTTTTTAGGGTGTTTATCTAATATTTACACACGTCTATTTTATACAACAAAAATTACATATTCTTTAAATAAAATATACAAAAGTTTAACTCGAAAACTAGCAAAAATCTGTATGCTTTAAAGTCACGTGCTAGAGTTGCCAGGGCAACCCAGTGTGGTAATCAATCTCACCTCTGGAGTATACTCTCAATCTCACCTCTGGAGTATACTCTCGTTAAAACGCGAGTTAACTAAATAAGAGCGATTGTGAGGGTATCTACCAAGTTTATAATGCCAGTAAAGAAGAAGGGAGGAAAGAAGTAAGTTCAGTGTTGTTATTTTTCTATCAATTTTATGATGTGAAAGGTTATTGGACCTATTATCATTATTGTTAATGGCCGCCATTGTGGAATGTGTCGTAAAGCTTATATGTTTGCACCTTAGTTACGATAAGCTTATTTGAAATCGAATCATTCATAACATCAAAAATTCCTTGGCCTTGAATATTATTTGAAATGCTCTAGATCTGGTAAGAAAAAGAGTGCAAAGCCAAAAAGAAGTAAAGAAGAAATCGCAAAGGTAACATGACATATTGCTCCTTTACCCGGCTCGTTTATCATTCGCAAAATCGTTCGAAATATAGAGCGCGCACGACTTTCGAATGAATTATAAGTTATGTTCTTTGTTAAACCATCAAATAAATCTTTCTGAAATATGATGAAGAAGAATTATTTATTGTAGAAGTAACCGGTCATAATGCTGTCTTTTACAGGAAAAACTGGAAAAGGCTGCTTCAGCATTTGAAGCAACAGAAGATCTCCATGCAGCATTTGTYGCTCGAATGAATAAATGGTTGATTGACAACTATTCCAGAGCAATAGACTTGTTTCGTAGGTTTGATGTAGATGGTGATGGYGAACTATCCTATGAGGAGTTTTATGCTGGAATGAGAGACCTCAATGCACCAGCAAATAACCTAGAGTTATATGTACTTGCTAAAAAACTAGATAAAGATCAAAATGAAAGACTGGATTATTTAGAGTTTTCTAAAGGTCTGCGGTATTTTAAGAAAGAGGAGTGTGTACCAGATGATGGCTTACCTCCTTTGACATTTGAAAGAGAGAAGCTTGAAAACTGTCCCTGCTGTAAAATAGGGATTTCAAAACCATTGACAGAAAAGTTTCCTAGGTAGGACTCTATTTTACTGTAACTTTCCTGCAACCCTTATTAGTTTACTTGCTTGAACCCTTATCCCAGGGTGTCTATTATATGTATGATGCTAATTATTTGCCTGCTTTATTTTACTCTGACAGATTCATTAGTCTGGAGCTTAAACTGATGACGTTTGCAAATCTACCTCATTTGAAGAACTACCCTGGACATTTTCAACTTTATGTTCATGCTCATATACCTGTGYTATCAATTGTTGAATTAATATGCGAGAGATTTGGTGGAACGCCTAGAAATGTATCAATCTACTGCGTAACTAAAGCTGGAGAGAAAGTGAAACTAAACCCTCATGATAAACTTCAAGACTGTGGATTTCCTGGAGGTCCCAGGCCAGAGCCCCAACTTGTTGAGYTGTTRTATGACTATGAGACAGAATTTAGAGACTGTCCCCTCCTGATGTGTGACTACTATTTTACTTGAGAACACTTTTCTAATTTAATATTTATCCATAATGACAGACATTTTTCCAATAAAGATTATTTATCAATCTAGCATCCTTTGGGTAGTTATTAGCAGTATATTTGTAGATTTCAACACCCAAAGTAATCCCTCTCAAAATAATGATGTTTAGTAGTATGAGTTCATGGTGATGGAAAATAGTGTTGTTGCTGTTATTGTTTATGATAACCCTAAAAAGGGTCCTAAATTTGGGTTGCAGCCCAACATCTCCAAATTTGCACCATCCCTGCCAAACTGCAGTCTTCTTCTCAGCCTGAGRAAGCCTGGCAAAGGGGTAGCCTGCTTAGGAGACTATACCAAAGGGCTTAATGAGATGATAATTACCAGACACAAAAAAATTGTAGTTATTTGAGCTATTGAATTTGAGAGGAAATGACGGATAAAACGTACTTAAGTAAGACACAAACAGCATAATAWTACAGCATGAAACTTGACCTTATATTTATGGGTGCCCTGTGTCAAAMATCTGCCTGCAAAGTTTGCTGGGATACTAATCCAAATCCAAGATGGCGTACGTATCGACATCACATCTTGTAAGGGGAATAACACATCAACAAAGAGTAACTCGACTGTACAGGAATAGTCTAAAACATCTGTTATCGTGGTGCATTGGACGGGAAGGATGGAGGAAAGAGGCCCTAGAACTTAGAGCACGATTTGATGCCAATAAAGAAGAGACAGACAGAAAAAAGATTGCTGCCATTATGGATCAAGCTGAAGTAGAATTTGAACAAAGAAAGCATCCCTATCCTTATCTAGGTAAGTCTCAATTTACTTACTTCCGTTATTAAATGTATATCCACATGGTCAGTTCTCTTAGTCTTYAGCTTCWAACCGTTTTATATCTTTTYTAGGCCCAACTGTCCCTGATGGTTCAAAATGGGAGAGAAACACCCCTCCAGCTCCCCATGTAAGTAATCGTACCTTGTTCAATGTCTTAACCCAACCCCCTAACCTTAATCTAAGTATTTTTGATTTTTTTCAGGTGTTAATGATGCTTCCACAAGAAGAAGAATGGTATAAAGAAATGATGGATTATGCAAACTATAAAACCGATTGAAAAACTGTTCCCGATCAATACACTTTGTACAGTCTAATTTGTGTRAAAATACTAAACATTTAAGCTTTGATCTTGGTTGTTACTGGTAATAAACAATTTGAATGAAAAATGTTATTAAAGTACAAAAAGAAACATTTTTACATCATTCTTTTCATGCCATGTTGCAAGTTGCTCTCTGCAAGCAAGGAGGCAGTGATTTCTTGTTGGGAATTACAACAGCAGAATCTGTTAGCAGCAATTTAAAAATACTACAGTCAGCTTTTCAGTCACAATTATCCTTTAAGCAGTTCCTAGTTCTATCTTGAAATGTAGGGGGTAGTCAAAGTGAGACAGTGGTTGAGCTTGCAATGAGATACCTATGAATACTGAATACCAGGTATCTATTATTGCAAACTACTTGTACAGCAAGTGGTTTATCTTTAAACATGGAACTCATGCATTGACTGTAAATAGCAATGTTTCATAAGTTTGAGCTTCCTTTTGAAAGAAAAACGCCATGGTAAATAATTAACCACCATCCCAAAAATGAATATTGTTTCACAAGTAAAAACTAGCTGTATGTAACATGACATGTTTTATTTTTTTCAATGACATTGTATTTATCCTATGGAAGTACCAAGTACTCTCCAATCTTATCTATATACCATAATCCATGTGCATTTGCACAACTTACACTTCACAAACTTTTCTTACACACAAAAGTTCTGCAGTCACAGTATGTACTGATGATTGTGGTCAGAAAGAAAAAATAGTGATTCAAATCTCTGGATGCACATGGATGAGGCCTTGGTTTCCTAGTATAATACATGGATATTGATAAAATACTTTAATGTGGATGATATCTTACAAATGAACTAGTTGAAATTATCTCTGAATCACTTGATGATGATTCTGAATCACTGGAGTCTGAATATATTCCCATACCAGGGATGGTTTGTGTATGTCTTGCTCCAAGACGTTCAACACGATACCTTGGAATAAACACCTTATTGGGCTCATGTTCTTCATCTGAAGATAACGACRCTCTATCATCRTTTGTAACAGAAGAATTTTGTTGACTTGTATTGTTTTTTGAATCAGACATATTCTCATTAATTTCTGCAGGAGTTTTTGGTTTCTTCTCAGGAGTTGTGTCACTACTACTTGAACTAAAAAGAAATAATAAGTCAAGAATCAAAAAAGAATTATTAAGATTTAGGAATTAAAAACATGGTTTAGGTCACTGTTTTCACATGTTTAATAATGAAACACTAGATATGTCTGGGAATTTTTTGTTGAATGATCTGTGAATGGGTCTGCTTAAAGATTCACTTGCTCTGTATATAACAAGTTATCTTGATATATACATGTTCTTTGTACTTGATAACTAAGTGATAACGCAAATCAAGCCTTTATAGATGATGAAACACTGCAGCACTTGCCTTTTTCGTCTCTTGATTCCACCTGCAATGAGATCCATCTGTGATTTTTTGCCAGTCACTTGAGTTGCTCTTTTTACTGTTGGTTTTGCCTGAACAATTGTAGAACTGTCCAATTCTGATGCTGCTGACTTGAAAAAATAGTGCAAGGTAAGATTACCACTTGTAAAATGACATTGATAATACCAAATTCTTAGAAAACATAATTCCTTTACAGTAAGGTCAATAACTGGAGTGATGTTACTAACAAAAACAGCTTACTCTGAAACTCTTGATTTCTTTATTTTCCTCTTCAAATCTTCTTTTGTTTATCTCTTGTTGTTGCTTTGCCACCAGATCTAGAAACTCAGTCTCGTCATCTTCAAGTCCTCTTATCATATTTTCTAACAAATTATAGAAAATAGACATTATTGCATTGAAAGTTATGCCTGTAAAAAATGTAGCTGGATCAGCTAATTTTCTAGATTAGATCTCATCTCTCTCTGTAACAAATGTTACAAAAGGAACTCAACAACAGGCTCACAGAGGATCCGTCTTGTGTTGCTTTCAAGGTTTTCACTTACTGAATTTATGTTGTTCTTCCCATTCCTCCTGTTTCTTGTCTTTTTGTTCTTGTAGTTTCTCAAATAATGTACGATTATCTAGCTCTACCTCTGGTCTCTCTGTATTAAGAGCAATAAATGTCAAATGGGAAAGTTTCACAGCAAGAAGAGTACACTGAATTCTGGAGAAATGCACAGGGAGACCATCATCACACAGACAAACCAGAAAATTGAAAAATAATAGCTATTCATTTATTCTCGAACAATGTAATTTCCATATTCATTAAGGAATTTATATACTGCTCCCTCCATTGCACGATGCAGTTATGAAGTGACATTAGCAATCAGACATGAAACATGCTTGTCAAGCTGCTGGAAAGCCTTGAGAGTAGAATTGTATAAAGCTTACTTACCGATAGGATCGTCTGGCTTGCGCACTTTTTCCCATTCTTCTTGTCGCTTCTGGCGAACCTCCTCTACTTCTGTCTCGGTAATAAACGATTTGATTCCACTGGAACCAGACATTATTGATGTGTCTTACTACAAATTTTAGCAATCTCGTACCCAGTTTAGGATTTCCAAAACGCATGTATTTTTATWTTTACCGCTGACCAAGGACAGTGTTTTTTCAGTGTTWATTCCTCCTTTTTTTCTCTGTTTCTATTTGTTCATTTTAGCAAATGGAATATTGTTATTTCAGATTTGAGAGAAATGAAGAAGTAGATATATTTCTTTTTAATGTTTATGATATTTGATCGACTGACTCKCCCCAGGTTTCCTCGTATGGGMTCGTATGATCTCATAACAAACAAGATGGCGGACAGAATTTTACTAAACGCCACTAAAGGAAAACCTAAGACATTAAACCTTTGCAATAAAAATTTAGAACGTGTTCCCCCTATAATAGGAACAATAACATCTCTAAAAACAGTTGACCTAAAGAATAACCAACTARCAGGGCTGCCAAAGGAATTTGCTKCGTTAAATCAGGTGAGGATAAATTTAAGCTTAAGAGTTGCGATAAATAAAGTTAAAATCATTCAAGGCTTAAGCTAACTTCACGCACATTTTTGAAGCAAATACTAGATCTCTCTCTACACATTTTTTGTTTCTTTATTACGATTTAAAACAATAACTGTAAGACTTAAAATAGAGTTATAATATTTTAATGTTGTCAAGGACGCTTGTGTGTAGCAACAGAAGTATGAGWGTCTCTGACATCAATCCTAATTTCATTACTCATTTTTTCAGCTTGAATCCTTGAATTTTGGAAATAACCAACTTGAGGAACTCCCTGGAGCTTTATATTTTCTCGAAAATTTGCAAAAACTTCATCTTTTTAAAAACTTACTGAAAGAACTGGATCCCTCTGTCCTATGTAAGTTAAGTATTTACCATCACTTCTAAATTCTACCTAGAGAACACATATGTTGAATTTGGATAAATGTAATTTTGTTTAATGTAAATTTCTAGGTGGTCTACAGAGGTTAACATTTTTGAATCTTAATGGGAATTTGCTCTCTTCTATACCTCCAGAGATAAACAGGTATAATTTAAAAATTGTGGGATAGATATTTCTGGTATATCTCTGCTAGAGAGGTGAATTTTCCAAGAGATTTTAGTCGTCAAGACCAACAATCAAAATCGCATGTCAGATGCACGCTTAAATTTGCAGCATTTGAAATTCACTGATATGAGCATACATTCAAATGCCAAGTTAGTGTTTATTGTATTTTGTTTCAGACTTGTATCATTACAGTTTCTCAGTCTTGATGGTAACCGTTTAACAGAGGTTCCCACGGAGATCTGTCATTTGATAAATCTTAATGAACTGCATGTTGCAAACAACCTAATAAAGAGGTATTAGAACTGAAAAACACCTACTTTGCCATAGTGAAAGAAGTTACTTATCCTTTTTAATTTGAATTCAGTCTTCCAGAAGATATTGCATTTCTTAGAAGTCTTAAAAAGTTATATGCCTACAAAAACTATATTGAAGAATTACCTGAGGTAAGAATGATTTGAAAATGGAGACTAATAAATCTGAAGCCCACCCTTTATAGGGACCCTTTTGTAATGATCTTGATTCAAGTCTTGAATCTTTGAATAAAATATGAATTTTCTTTTGTAGGGTCTTACAAAATGTACAAGTCTTGAGTTACTTGATATTTCAGCAAACAGACTGAGAATCTTTCCAGCAGAGGTTAGAAGTAACTTGTTACAAGTGTTATTTGGTAACCAGCAGTACTCCAATAATAGAACTGATTGTATTTTTGATAGCTTTCACGCTTACCTTTGAAAGAACTGTATTGTGAAGAGAATAACCTCCTGCGACATATTCCTGTACACTCTCAGCAAGAAGATGAAGTTCTRACATTGAAGGTTTGAAATGCCGTCTTTCAACGTCCTTAGTGATTAGAGGTCTAACATTGATCGATACTTCAAATTTTATTTTCTTCAACTTCAGGAAATTACTGCACGATTTGTTCTTAAAGGCCTCAAGGATGGGTATGTCATTTGTTAGCTTCAAGTCTTAAGTGTTCTTTTAGGTGTAATCTATTTCATCTCTTTCCCAGTCGTTCATATGTCAGAAGGTTTATTCGACATTTCCCCAAGATACAAGAAATGCTGCAGTATGGAAGTGAGTGCGCAGTTTGTGGAGAGTCATTTTTAAACACTTGGTTGGAATGTGTTCATTTTGTGGATGCCAAAAAGGTATAATTTCATTATGTATTTAAATCACTTGAATATCAAATGCAACTGAATATTGGTTTTCCTGCCTAACTATTCTTCCACTGTCCTTGTCAAAGTGAACAAAATATCACCAAAAATGCTTTGGAAAAAATGCATTGCATGCAAACTTGTCTTATTCTTTTGGTGTAAAAAGAGAAATTTAACACCGTAAAAAAGAAGGTGAAATAACTTACTGACGTTTCGGACGTTAATCCTTCTTTGCAGTAAAGACATGTTGTTCTCTCTACTCTGACGAAGAATTGATGTCCGAAACGTCAGGTTACGGTTTTAAATTTATCTTTTTACACAACTGTTTGTTTAGAAACACCGACACAGCTCACACTAGTTAAATGCTAGTTACCACCATTTCTTCTTTTGATGCCAAGCCACTGCTACCTTTCAAGATGGTGGAGGGGACAAGGACTATTCATTAAATTTTATTTTTTTACATCTTTTCAGAGTCTACATACCAAAACAAGTACACGAATTATCCCTGTCAGGGGTCTGCTGTGTTCATACAAGTGCTTTAACTCAGAAGGTCATGATTACTTTGGCATTGCGCATGTTGAAGGAACGTAATGGATGAAGGGCGTGGCACTGTTCATACCGAGAACGCTTCCTCAATTTTAAAGGATGTGAAATAGCTTAAAATCAGTCGTTGTGTTGTATTACATTGTCTACTTCAAATGTGTCTCCCCAGTTTTCAGTGATTAACAAGATCACAATAATAATAATCAGATTGTAAATGAGTTTTATATGACATAAATAAAGAAGTATTAAAAACAATTTGGCAATACAACCAACAAATATAGAATTACTTACAACATTCTATATAATTATTTTATAATGATAAAGCATTTGATTGTCAGTTTAGAAAACCTGATGACGTAAATTATATAGTGTCTATAGTAACCACATCAAACGATCTATATAGTTCATTAGCGTTTTTCTTGACTTTCTTGGTTGGTTGCCTGAGAGAGCGGCTCATCGTTGCTTCATATGTATGTTGACGAGCTCAAGAATTGGTCGTTTCCATATCAATCTCTTGCCATTAAGACAAATAAGATCGAGTTTGTTGTAAGGGTTAAATGGTGCAGTGGTGGTGACGTTACTGGACAACGGACCCTTGTGSGCAAACKTTTGYTTTKTATATTCATAAGATGGGAATTTCCTATTCACAAAACAAATTCATCAGATTGATTGATCATTTCATTCGATCCATCAATTTATCAATCAGAGTAAAGTGTTTTTTTTTTAAACAAGGGTGAAACATTGAAAAACACGACTAATGAAGATCACTTGTCGCGTTTTAATAAGAAAACATGGGCTTCTTACGATATAAAGTAATAACTATCAATTTACCTGTAGGTTGACTTTGAAATACTTTTAAAGCCAGGATTTTTGCAAGTCTCTGGTGGCTTGGGCAGTACGGGGTACCGAGGGACGTAGCCACAGTAGCCTGGAACTTGTTTGGTACTGTAAAAAAACAAATCTTATCACATTGTTGAACAATCCTTATTCATTGCGCGTCTATCAACTCAGAGAATTTATACTGCTGATATTGACTCATCTTACAGCAGTACAAACGGACTTGATTTTGCAGCACTTTTTAGGTGGGAAACCAATAAAACAGAAAAAATTAAAAAGAAATTGCAAAAGACCTTGAAAATAAATGTCACCCTGCGGGACACACCCCTAGATCCATTTTCCTAACTTGTTAACTGACGTTCGTTGTACTGTTCATACCATAAAATCGCTTGTATCTCCGCGCTATAAATGACACTAGGACACTGATATTTGGTAGATAACTCCTTTTTTTCCATGCGCTTTAAGGATATGTCAATGAATCCCAAAAATTCCAAAAAAAACTTTCTGAGAAGTCACACTTAAGTACTCTATTGTTTACTTACAACTGGACTTCCTTCTTTGTTAACGGATCGATGACTTTAACATATTCTTTTCGAGGCTTGTTTTTCGTTTCAACTGGCCTCTCAATTCTACACACAACAATAACATACCCCATCTTTATGGATTATCACAGTATGAATTACTATCCTAAGTAGAATATAAAAGAGCGGAAAATCGAATTCGAGAATATCAACCCCCCTCCCTCTTATTCATTCAGACCAAAGCGTTACCATGGGTGCTTACGTGCATTGARGTTTGGCACTTCTCCTTTCAATTTCATAGGGTCGACATCTATTGAACCTGATTTGTATTCTATCCCAGCTAGGTGCGATCTCCTGCCATAGCCCTGCACACTCTTCCAAGGACCCTGTATGGTCACGCCGTACCATATCCGCCTTGGGCGTGAACGAGATCTGTGCGGGATTGTCATGCGTCTGTTTATCTAACTACAGTGAAAAAAAATATGGTAACCGCAAATGCTGCAACAAACAAGCCACAATAATCATGTCATCGTTCTGAGAAACTGTGGCACCGTACAAAAAAAAAAAAATTAATACACAAACATTCAACAACACTAGCAAACCTCGTCGTCATCCTCATCTTGCTCGTTACGRCAGGAGTTTTCGCGATATACCAAAGATGAACACTTAAGAGAAGGAAGTTTATCTTCCTCTTCATCCAAATTTCCATTTTCTGCATGACTTWTTTTGGCATTATCATGAAGAAGCGACTTGTTGCAACGAAAACGCCGAGGTAAAGCCAAGACGTGACAAGGTGGTAAAGTCTGCGGTCTGTTCAATAGCTTTGATAGACAAGACAAGCCATGCGGCATTAATGCATCAGTCATGTTTGTCTTTACTATGTCACTTTAATTACACGACGAACAATCAATTAATTGAAGATAAATCAATAATTAGATTACATAATTAAAAAGTGCGCGCGAATATAAATACTAAGTGCGTGTTGACTTGAGACTCGCAACCGCTGAACACTGAAATGGGATTAAAATAATTAAAATTACTGAATGACCTTTGTTGTTAAGATTTCTGACCTAACATTTACTAAAGATTGACATTATCGCTAATACAACAAGCTAAAAACTACATGAAATCATTGTCTGGATTTTTCCAGCTTCGCTAACGTGTCTTTGCAGTTACAAAGAGGAATGACTTTGATTTTACTTCAAATTTCATAATTACATTCTACAACATGAAACGAAAAAATTACTTTGTCATTGGCTTCAGAGATTTAGGTACGCTATTTATTTGAGCGACAACATTTTATCAAAAGCCATCGTAACAAAAAAGGGTGTGCGCAACAGGTTTCAAGAACTGGCAGTGCATGTAGTTCCAATCTGATTGGTTGTCAAGTGTCCTGACAGAAGTGTGTGATTCAATATGTGTAAGTTCATCCACTGAAGACTATAGATAAATGACGTCAGGGTGAATTTGCAATACTGTAGGTATCATCTGGTTCAGTCACACGTTCCAGCCCACCAAGAAGCTAAAATATACAAAGATAGAACATTAAAACTTGCGTTGTTAAAACTTGCGTTGTGAAACGGTCTGTTTGGTACTGGAAGCAGCACATGTAAAGAGATGATTTCGGCTTTTAAAAAATATCTCGCATGCATAAGAACTAGGTATTTTCACGTGAAAATAATAGGTGATTTAGAACACATTTGCCGGCGCATCTCAGAAATCCTCCATTTCTACCAGTACCATGAAAAACTTGAATGAATCAACAATAATAAGAGACAAAAAATTGATGAGTTCATGAAGAGAATGAACGACATGTTTTAAACGGTGAAGGTGGAGAACACAATCCATCATCATTCTCACACAACCCCGTTCTCCACCATATCTGATGCAATAAAGATCGCAATTGGACCAATCAGAGTTAAAGCATTTTTGTCCAATATGTGGAGCTTACCTGGAATGGCCATTTTGCTATATTCCTCCGGCTGCTCAAGGTTGTCTATATTGCTGTGCATAAATGTCTTGGATGTCTGACCACTATAATGCCTAAAAACAAAAAAACAAAACTCTTATGTTTGCACAGAGTTGAGATTTTGACTTGTCATTCAAAATATTGCATGTCTGTCAGTTTCTACTAACCTGTGAAGATCTTCACTGTTGGACCAGATCTCATAAAGAATAAATGTGCTGGTACCACTGAATGATCGCACACTCAGACTGCAACATTAAACATTCATTGACTTATTAACAAGCCATAAAAAGTAATTTGAATTTTAAGTTCTCCAAATACAGTAAAATTTACAAGGGATTTAGTAAAAGCGTTAATGTATAAAACAAATTTCCTTTTTCTATTACTAAATTCTGACTTACTGTCGGCATCCATTTTGTAAGCTAGTAGCACCAATGTAAGCCTTCAAGTTTGATCGGAATGCTGTCAAATTCTTGTCAGACACATTGAACTTTCTCGAGACTATCAGTACCTGAAAATTGATTTATGTGAGAACGAATTGCAACTGTTGCACTACAGACAATACAAAGATGACAAGAAATGTATGCTCTGATGAAAACTAGTTACCATTTCATTTAGTTCAATATTTGTTTCCTCTTCTTCAACAACATCAAATTTAACCTAAAAAACAGAAAAATTTCTTCAAAATGTTTTACTTATTCCATTCATGTAAACAGTTGAGCTTATTAAACTAACCTTATTTTCAAGCCTGCTGATCAAATCWGCCAGACGGTTAACCTCTTGAGAAAGGACATTTCTTACAGCACCAGCTGAAATAAAATCAAGTGCTCTTTTAATTAAATATATATCTGCAGAGTACAGGGTATCAATAATTTATACATATTAATTTATGATTTTACTTAAAAGTACCATCAACACTTGTCTGTTGTGAAAAATTGGCCTGTTTTCTTCTCATTCTYCCTCCACTTGTATTTAAATTTGTSATTTCTGCTTGGACAACTTCTGGCCTGAATGAAAAGACAAGGCTATGATTWYATACTTTCATTTAAATGGTTATTGCTAAYGTTGCCATTATAATCATTATTATCAATGCCATCATTGTCATCATTCAGATGATATTGTCATGTCTTACCTCTCGTCATTCTCCATTTCATCTATCTTGTCAACGGCAACATCAACATGGTGTTCCAAGGATGCTAACTGTCCAAGGACCTACAATACATGTTGACATTAAACATCATGAACACTCTTATGTTCTGTGAAGATTTAACTCTTTGTCAAGTGTATAAAATTCATTACAACTATGTTATCCTAACCTCTTTAAGAAGGAATCTTGTTATGAATTTCCCAATAAATGACTGGTTTGAATAAGCCTACAATAAATTAGACACAGGATTTTTAATCTAAAGGCAGACATGGATAATTTAAAGGGAAGATGACGTAGGGATAGGATTGAGTGATCTCTATATTAACACCCTTCTTCTATAATTATGTTGRCGCAAATATTTACAYRTGAAACAAATTGTTAATAAWTTTTTTCMAAACRTCTTGACACACACCTTAGAAGATTCAAATAATGCTTCACTGACTGCAGCATTCATGTCTTCAAGACCTTCAAACACCTTTGAGAATGGTCCTGCTTCTTTGAGGAAAAACTCTGAAAATACCAAGCAGACTCAGAGATGTGAACTTGTTTAGCTTAACCTCTCCCCGTGATACATTCAAGTGGGGATAATACTACAGACAAATTATTTACTATCATATTTCTGTGCTTACCACATAATTCTGAGGTGTCCAAATTACTGTTTTGAAAACAAACTTTATGTCATTATATCAAAATAAAAAAGAAAATAAATTGTTTCTGTCTTGAGTTTATGTTGAGGCTGGGCAGCCTGTGGCAAGGGGTATGGCTAGGGGGGTGGCACACCTACTTAGTATTATGGGTATCAATATCATTGAAGAGTTTCTTTAAATCATCTGTAGAAAGTATTCCATCACTGAAGAAAGATGTGAACTCTGCCCACGATAGTGCTCCGTCATCTGTGGAAAAATACTTAAAACTGTAAATAATAAATTACACAGTTGCATAACTTTTTAATTTAAGCCCCTCTTGAATTTCGCAAACTTCTTTTATAAGCGCGCTGCCTTCGCCTATGCAGCTTCTAGGTCGCAATAGGGGGACTAATAGTACAATAATACAACCATCGTTTGGAAAATGCACAATATTTAGTAGCTGTCAACAGTTTGTTAGTCCTGTTATAATCCGGTAAGCTTACCGTTTTTATCTGCTCTTCGGAACACCTTTAAGTAGAACAGAGTATGCATTACAATATGACTATGTTTTTATATATGGTAGCGAGCTACAATACTTACATCCAGAAAGATTGTTTTGCCTTTTTCTTGGGCGGTCAGCTTCGAGCCAGTAGCTTCAGCCATTTTGCGAAGAAAACAATACAGTTCTTTTCGCGTTCCGGTACATTCACGAGAAGTATCCGAGTAAAAGACGAACATTTCCGATCTCCCATCATCGTGTCTACAATCGTCTGACAAGATGGAAGATGAAGTTGTTGATTCTCCGTCCGTTCTACCTATTGATCGTAAGACTGTACATCAGATTTGCTCTGGACAAGTTGTACTGAATCTTGCGACAGCTGTCAAAGAGTTGCTTGAGAATAGCCTGGACGCTGGTGCAACGAGCGTGGAAATCAGACTTAAAGAAAATGGCGCGGAATTGGTTGAAGTCTCGGACAACGGTTGTGGAGTGGAACCACAGAATTTCGCAGCTTTAACACTTAAACATCATACATCTAAGCTTCGCGACTTTTCTGATTTATCTTCTGTAGAAACCTTTGGGTTCAGAGGAGAAGCGCTCAGCTCATTGTGTGCATTGAGGTAAGTTGGGGGAGGGGAGGGTAAAATAGTTTCCCTGCTGAGGAGGGGTGGGGTTATATTATTAACTGCTCATACCTATCTTATTTTCTGTGATGGGTAACTTAAAATTTGTTTGGATTTTAATCTTATTGCAGCAACTTGACAATTACTACCAAAGACAAGTCCCAGGTAGCAGGAACAAGACTGGTGTATGATTACAATGGCAAAATACAATCACAGACAGCCTGCGCAAGACAACAAGGAACCACAGTAACACTATGCAATCTCTTCTCAACTTTACCTGTGCGCCATAAAGAATTCCTTCATAACATAAAGAAAGAATTAGTCAAACTTGCACATGTTCTTCATGGATACTGTATTATAAGTAACAGAGTCAGGATAACATGCACTAATCAAGTAGAAAAAGGAAAAAAGACAACAATAGTTTCAACACTTGGCAGTGAGCACATCAAGGATAATATTGCTTGCTTGTTTGGTCCAAAACAGGTTAAAATCTATTTAACTGTATTATTATATATTTTTCTTTGTTTCATTGCATGAAAATTTGTGTTCATTCTAGTACTTTGTACAGTTGTATTCACGACTTTCCATAGGCAGCCTCACTGACTATGAACAAAGCATTGAAAAGAGGCATCAAAGTACAGTGAACATAAAAGAAAAGATCTGTGATCAGTGTTCCTTGACGCCTCGGTTCAATGCTTTGTTACTTTGTGGTCGCGCTGAACCAGGGTATGGAAAGTCATGATTACATCAGTAATATTGTATATGGTTTATGACATTGTATAAAGTACTGGTATAACTGAGCCTTTGTCTTTGATTTTGCTCATCACTACCCTGCACAGATAATTATTTGTTCATACACTGTATTTCATGAGGTCTWCACTTYTCAGGTCCAGTCATTGATACCATTCAATCAAGTCCAACCATCAGAAGAAGAACGTAATGAATTCATCATCAACACTGATAACCAGTCAAACCTGTTTCACATAACTGGTTTCATTTCCAAGGCTGATCATGGTATGGGAAGAAGTTCTGCAGACAGGCAATTCTTTTTTGTCAACAAACGACCATGTGACCTKCTCAAAGTCTCACGTGTTGTYAATGAAGTGTACCACATGTACAACAGACACCAGTATCCATTYGTTGTRCTGAAYATTTCTCTTCAGAGAGGTATGTGTATAAGCTAGCATGATATATCTTGAGGGTTAAAAAGCACATCATCAATTTTTTTTTCTTTTTCTGTAGAAACYGTTGATGTGAATGTAACTCCRGACAAACGAAAAGTGTTCATGCAAGAGGAGAAAGTGTTGTTAGCAACTATTAAAAGCTCCCTAAAAACTATGTTTGACCCTGGGACATCTAATTAYGAGATCAACCAAAAACCCTTAAACAACCTCAGCTTTCATCMCATAACTAAAACGAAGGAAGTGGAAAATTGTACATCWGTCAAACAAGAAYCGGAAAGGATTGTCAAGAAGGTGTCTGTGGATGCATCTGGAAAGAGTTTTCCTCTGCTAAGCAGTTTCAAAAGGACRTATTCTGCAATGTCAGGAAAGGAAAAATGCAAGAAAGAACCAAAGGCAAAACAGGCTAAGTTGACAACATTTTGCAACTCTGTCATAGATTTTGGCTCCAAATTGTTTGGAAAATCAAGTATTACTGCAACTAAAGTCGCTGAAAGCACATTGGAGATACCTACAGAAGAGGAAGCTATTGTTTCTGAARAGRCTAGTGATGAAATAGTTCAACTTAAAGACGTCTCGCTCGCTRCAAACACTRCAGAGACAATGTTACGCGAGAATGATTGTGTAGTAGAGCAAGTAGAAGAACAAGAACAAGAAGTTACAATAATTGAACATCGACATAATGACCAAATAAGACAGAAAACAGACGAAAGTCAAACTACAACAAGGCGAGATTTTCGCGCAAGTTTACAACAACGCAAAGTAATACATGTCGACTTTAAAATGCAAACATTAAAGGAATCTGCGCATAAGAACARAAACTGCGCAAATCAAGAATCAAAATCGCGCTTGTTTCGCGCCAAAATAACACCAGAAAATAACGCGGCTGCCGAGGAGGAGCTGACAAGGAATATCAGCAAGGAATCTTTTAGTAAAATGGACATTTTAGGGCAATTTAATCTTGGGTTTATTCTCACACGTCTTGGACAAGACATTTTCATCATTGACCAACACGCTTCTGACGAAAAGTACAACTTCGAGAACCAACAAAAGAATACAACTTTACAAACCCAGCGACTTATTATCCCCAAGAAACTTGAACTAACTGCAGTAAATGAATGTATTCTTATTGACAACATTGAAATCTTCCGTAAAAATGGTTTTGACTTTGAGATCAATGACGAMGCAGAGGCAACTCRGAAGGTAAAGCTAGTGTCTGTGCCTGTGAGCAGGAACTGGACGTTTGGAGTGGAGGATGTTGAGGAATTGATATTCATGCTTAGTGATTGTCCAGGAGTGATATGTCGTCCTTCGCGTGTTCGTAAGATGTTTGCTAGTCGAGCTTGTCGTATGTCGACCATGGTTGGTACAGCGTTAAGTCGTGAAGAAATGAAAACAATAGTTCAGCATATGGGACAAATGGAGCATCCATGGAACTGTCCACACGGACGACCGACCATGCGCCATGTCATCAACATGAACATGATATCTGGCTGCTATAATGAGCACTAGAGCAAGTGAATGAACTATTCACTCTCAGTAATGGGAAAATCTTGGATGGAAAAATAGATTTACTCTGTTGACTTACCGTTAATTGATAATCTGAATCTGAAACACCAGGAATTATGGAAACGACTTAATTAATCAATGCTCGCCCACCGGCAATAGCCTCGTAGTACAATAATAAATCAAATAACTATACAGCATACCACTCTATCTACAGGGTTCCTAGCTATCAAGCGCAGCAGTTTATTGGACTTAGCCAACTTGGTCTACTTAAAAACGCACGTAGGATGCCAAGACCAAACAAAATAAAAATAAATTGAAAATCAATATTTTCATCTTAGTTGCTTCTTTCCCAGCCCTTTTGTGTTAATACGGAGGCCCCTATTAAGGAAAACTCATTAAACATATATGAAATTTTTATTCACTTTTTTTTTGCATTTTTAGTCTGGCATTCTTGTATGGATTCTTAATTTCGTCTAAAAATAGAATTTCGTCAATAGTTGTTGTAGGCCATTGCACATTCTTTTGCTATTTGAGTTGCTGTTCTGCACACACCTCTATCGATTCTGAAAGTCTAAGAGACAAAGAGAATATAATTAAGGCCTGCTTACAATGGCTTTTTCGTATTCTCGCTACAGCTATTGCAGTCGAGAGTTAGGAGCACATTGTCAGGAAATGTCAAAAGGAGTGTCCCTGTATGTGTGAATAACCCTGGTCATCGTGCCTACTGAAATAAGTCGAATAGTGTATTTAGAATGCTTTGGCTTGTTTCTTGCTTAAACTGCTAGTCGTTTTTAAAACTTTAATTTTTAGGGTGAAACCGCAAATTCTAAAATTGACAGGCAACCGAGAAAAGGGAAGTTATTGCTATCTTAGAAAGGTATTTTTGGCAAAAGATCTTGGATAATAAAGAACGTCAATAGTGGGAAGACATCAAGCAAAGTTTTATGTTTTTATCTTATTAAGGTCCTTCACTCAATCGGTTCAATCATACTYCACTGACATCTTACCTTCTTTCTTAAGAGTTTGTCATCGTTTTTGCTGTCTTTAACGYCTTTTTTGCGTGAGCATGGCTGACCAGGAACCGATAAACATAACCCTGATGTGATAGCCTTACTCGTTTTGATACACACCATACAGACCAAAACTAGTACTACTATTACCACGGTCTTCATATCGAAGTCTTACAAGTGTCATGCAGTCTTTCGTGAACATTTAAATACTGTTAATCCACATGAATGATGGTAATTACTGGACCCTTTGACCAATCACGTTGTAATTGCACCTGTCCATGTTGATTGACGTTCAAGAAGAGGCGTTTTGACGTGTGTTTATCGGTGGTAATGTCTACCTACAATAAGCACTATGGCGCCTAATCTTACTTAACTTCAACAAATGTTATTTTCTTTACCCCATTTTCACAAAATCTGTCATGAAGCACTTTTAGTCTATTTTTGCGCTTCAGTTTTGAACTTTGCACTACGCATGTGCAAGGTTGTGCACTATTGATAGAAGTCCATATCACAAATTACTATGTTTTTCATAATATCAATGTCAGTATTTATAAACCTTTTTACATAAACTGTCCAAAATGCTTAATGCATAAAAGCAATATTTTTTGCAATCAACGAATCCTAAATCAGAACAAAACATTCAAAATCTAACCATAACTAGTTTATCAATTGACAGTTACATGTGTGTCATTTCTTAGACGCGTATATATCATTGTTATCACTAGTATTATTTAGAATACGAAAACTGAAATAATACGAGAATAAAGCTAAACAAAATGAAAATAAATGGAAACTAGGAAATCACAATGTAAGACCATGTACATTTTTGATGCGTGTTTTTTTGACGATTTGTTTTTAAAACAAAGATATCGAAAATACATCCATATCAATATTGAGAGTAGGCTTAAAGTAATAACTTCTCAGCTATATTTACTGACTATATCACTTCCATATCTGACATTTGCTAAATCCTAATGGGACAATTTAGCTTATGGTAGAAACGATGCTCATATATGGGCAATAATTAAAGTATTTCATGATAAAAAACAGATGGAAATCCCAGTTATTTCAGTGGCATATCCCTCATTTGGTCAGCAATTAGCTCATCATAAAATTGACGAAGAATCAATCAATCAATAGCCTCTGGGCCACTAAAATTTGAATGACTTCGCGAAGATAGTTAATTTTTTTTACTTGTGTTCAATCTCGCAGTTTCTATGAAGTGCGCTTTTAAAAACTGTTGAATGAAATGTAAACGAGCCAAAACTAAATGAGAATTCTTAACGATACGTTTTGTACGTAGAAGGTACGAAGAACTAGTTTACATATAGTCACTGCACAACACCAAAAAATAACATTATTCGTAATAGCAGTTGTTCTACCAGAAGAAAAGCCGACAAAATCCTTGAGACAAAATGCAATGCGATGCCGAGAGAAATGAGAAGGCGAGTGGGTAAGAAAATTTAGTACTCACTATTAAAATGATTACTTCCTTATCTAAATAACTAACGCATATAAATGACTTGATTTTTGTTTATATTTATAGATGATCCTAAACRCATTAAAATAGTTATTTTAACCACCAATAACACCCACATTCAACATTGGCTCCTACAAGTGTATTTTTTGTTTAAGTGGTTTGTACATATACCAAAATGTYGAGTCGTGGAGGTGTCTCCTTTTTCAAATCTCACCAAACACACTTCATATGAAACGATAATGGCAGTTTGACTTTGCTCTTTGGATTATAATAGTGATTTCACTGTAGTTACGTTAGGATGTTTTGAAACAACTGGATGAAAGGGATTAGTTGTTAAATCTCTTCCCTTTTAAACCACTTTCACCGTTTACACAGGTTAGGATTTGGGGAACCAAGATAAAGTTACTCCAAGAATTTGCTCAAATGCCGATGAAGACTTTCCTGACATGCAGGAGTTTTCTATAACAGTAGTATGTGTTGAATTATTGTAAGTTCGGTCTTGCTAGAAATTCACCTGCTAGATCATAAGGAAGTAGAATTAACAGGGTTTGTTTGTTCAAATCCGGAGACGCTCGTTTGCTCTTACGTATCAAGCAATCGTGAAACAAATGAGAGATTATAATTGTGAACTCGTTATTTTGTACGGAGTGATCCTTTACGACACATTATTTTGTAGGTCATAATGACAATCGTATGGCTTCATCCTGTTCCTTGCCACTAAAACTTAATCAACTAAGAATAATAAGATTGACAAAAACAGCAGGCTCACAGGAAACTACCAGCACTTAAACTTAATTAAAACAACTTTTATACATTTTCAGAGTCACATTCGACGAAGAAATATATAAAGTCTCTCAAATCCAAAAAACTGAGTCGTGATTCAAATATAGAAAAAGCCATTTTCACGAATGTGCTGTTAAAGTTAGGCCCTGTTTACATGAGATAGGGTGGCCCTAGCGGTAGAGCCAAACTCTTTTGTTTTCAATCCTCCAAGGGAAAGAAAACAAAGGAGTTAGCCCTACCAAGTAGGGGCACCCTATCTCGTGTAAAAAGGGCCTTACTCTAATGTATTTCGTACGTTTTTTCTTTTTATATCTATTTTCCTGATGTCATGGTCATCATCGTTTATGATGGACGAACAACAGGATTTATGATACAAAACCCTCAACTTATCGCACAGCATTGTTCCTGTTTCAAGTTTGCCGTCGATCTTTCTTGTTTTTTTTTATGTTTTTTTTTTTAACCAATGCATGACCTCTGGCAACTTGTCGCGCGACCACGTGAAAAACGAAAAACACTGTCCCTAAATGCGAGCAGTCTTATTATTTCTGCGGTTCGACTTCCTATAAATTACAGCTATTCAGTGTACATTATTATCATTAAACAATCAACGCGGAAATAAAAAAACGCAGTTGTAATATTTGTCGTTACAGGGGGTTATCAATCAACCCAATTAATTAACCCACAGAATAATTTGTGACTCGTTTCCTTTTCAGAAGGACGCATCCAAACCAGACACAAGAGATTTGTACAYCTAGTTTGGACTAAAAACCTATACTGCGTGCTACGCYCTCTAGTCTAATAAAATGRACCGTTTYCTTATATACCCGACTGTTCTCGTCCCYTGTACATTGTTGTCGATGGAAATCTTAYYACCACTTTAACCATTAACCCCATGTTATCATAGCATGAAGAATGCCTACAGCAAGGTTTTCACCACAAGGTGGTCTGGATGCACTCTAGTGCAATGCCAACAAACGTTTGAATACATATATCATAGCACCTCATAAACACTGTTAGTTACGTTACATAACAAGAGAACAAATTCCCTTCTTTCCTTCTACTTTTCTTTCTTTCATTAGCGCATTCGTTCTCTTTTAATACTCAATTATTCGATGAACCATCGAATCAGCTATCCTTGATCTAATTTACTTTTTTTTTTCATTCAACCATTCAATTATTCATCTTGTCATTCACAAGTCAACATCGCATTCACGTCTATTGGAGTGAGCACTAAATCCCATTGAAAGTTGACGTCAGAAGATCGCAAAATTACGTACATTGATATCACGATTTGTGTAGTTCATGCAACATGCTTTGCACAATAAAGAAAAAMAAAACCTACAACATAGACAATAAAAGGCTTTGTTTGTTATTTAATAATGTTCCTTCATATATACACATAGAAATTTGTCACTGTTCTCTGTAGAATACCATTCATTTCAAAGTCAAACACATCAAATATTGATAGGTTTATACAAGGAGAACAGACCCAAAACGACGAACGAAATTACAAGTCATCTCTCACACCAAAACCAGGACCTTTAGGGGGCTCAGTGAGGGATGTTAGACCCCCTGCTGGCTCACAAGAGAACCGACCACTCCTTAAAACACAAACAAATGACAAATTACCAAAAAGTACTGTACTGATGTGATGAGAGAAGAGGCACATGCCCCCATGCTCTGATGTGGACAATAAGATGGAGGACACAAGAGAAACAATCTTGAAAATACTAGTCCTGCAAGCACTTTCCTAATATATATTGTCTAATATAAATTGCTCATTTGATATTTTGATATTTTGGGCATACCTGGGACCTGGCTTAGGTGTTTTACCAGCTATCAAGTCATCTATGATTTCCTCTGCATCTTTCATAGACAGATCTTCCTAATGATTGAAAAGAAATATCAGTTAAGCCTGGCAAATATCAGTTAATTCTGGCTTCGATATAAACATTACAATCGCTAGAATCGCCATGATTGCTGAAATTATGTGGCTCAACAATCGTAGCAATCATATGGAAACACTCTCCAGCAATCCTAGCGATCTGAGAATCTGAGCGATTCCAGCAATCGAGATCTCATATTTTCGTCAATTGTGGCGACCCTAGCAATTGTAACTATTATTTGGAAACCAGGCTTTACATTGGTAATTAACAGCCATTTGCAAAACATCATTATCTCTGATTAAGTACAATTTTCATTTCAATAATTTTTGGAGTGTGTGTCAGTTTTTAAGATACATTATATATTCACTCAAATTTGTATCGTTGAACATGTCAACACAGTATACTAGATAATTTTCAATTCTTCAATAATCAAATCCTTTTTATTGTATGAAATGGACAAAGTTCTTGTATAGTGCATTGTTTGATTACACCTGACTCTACTTACATAATAATTGTCATTGATTTGCATCATGGGTGCATTCACACATGCACCAAGACACTCCACTACTGTAAGAGTGAACATACCGTCCTCTGTTGTCTCGCCCTCTTTTATTCCTGCACACAAATAAACAACACTAGTTAACATTGTGATATCAACATGGCCGAGAGCAAAAAAGATACCAGCTTAGATGCACATGTGTACTGATCATTATTCTTACTTATTTATCACAATCTTTCTTTCTTTTTATTATTTTTGTAGATAATGATCAGTCACAAACATGACTACATCTATGATAAGTTTTACCTAGTTTGCTTTTTAGTGTGTCTARGAGTAGGTCGGCATCTCTGAGCTGGCAAGGTGTTGTTGTACATACTTGAACATGATATTTGCCTATTGGTTCCCTACAAACAATATTAAAATGTTCAGTTTATTAACCACTCACTTTCAAAAATACTWYAATCATAGCATTACRTCATACCTATTGAACATAGTGTAGAAAGTAGCCACTTCATAAACACGCATTCTTGGCATTTTTARGAAATCAGCAACATAGTTCATRACAGATATTGGTGTCCATCCTCCTACAAAGACACACATCTCACAATGMTAGTATTTCAATGACCAAAAAGTGCCCTAGTACACATGGAGGGCTTGGGATTGTGTACGCTATGTGGGAATTAAATACACTTTTGTTTCCTACCATTCTGTCTTTGTGCAAGGTCCAACAATGGTATCACAGCAGCTTTCTCATGTCCAATTGGATAGTTATTAATAATTGATTTTGCTCTCTGGAAATGGTAAAAAGSAAATGATATCATTTTTCCGTATAGAAAGATGGTGTTTCCTTGATGATTTCAAAACATACACAAAAATACTAACCTTCAAGTTTTCTGCAGTAAATTCAAAAGGAATGTCAGGGTTGTTTTTCTCTGAATCTCTGTGCTAAATTCAAAAGAAAAATCCAAGAAATAAGCTAGTTATCTGAGTTCAGTCCAAGGATGTTATGTAACTTGGAGTTAATTGCACTAGGAAAACAGGGCATTCCACACTTACAGCCAATGAAAAGACCGTAAAATGGAAGCTTAAAGTAATGCAATACATAAATCTATACAAAATTAAACAAACTTTTAACTACAAGTAAGAAGACACGTTAACWTACRTACCACAAATAAATGATCGGAGTAACTGATGGCTGCCARGTGGACGKTTCTTTGACTTACATGAGAATATTTTGTGGCCTAATACAAATGAAAAACCTTGATTMAATAAMTTTGACGCTATTTTAACCTTTTTATTTGATTAGAGMAGAAATTACCTCAACAGAAGAACGCAAAACAGGAGAAGTGAGACGTCCTAAATTTCTAGCCACTCGAGTCAACATGGYTGCCATTTTGAATCTGGGCCCGCAATCTTGAMAACCAGAGGTTAACACCAATTGGGGAGGGAGGGGASGGGATCATTATTAGACAGATTTTCCTTTTTCACCAGAGCTTCGATTGTTTATTCCTTTTCATTATTTTAATTGTAGGTACAATGGTAAAAGGGAACGTCACTGAGAAAAATCAAATATAATGAAATAAAAGAATGAATGAAAGAAACTAAGAGAACTCAAATAAGAAAGGAATGAGAAATAGGAATAGAAAATGAACTCCAATCTTACTGATGTACTTTTATTGATATATAAATTTAAATTATCATTTCATATACATATGTACATATACAATATCACGTGATCTAGCACACAGATTTGTCACGTGACTTAGTGCGCTTTTTTTCTTGTAAACGCAGACGTGTCTTCTCAAAGTTAATGACCTGAAAGAAGCAAAAATTAGTATGTTGATCCGTTATATATGACAGGGGATAAACTGTTAAGCATTTTAACGCCCTCTTGTCTCGTCTATATCTTGTCTCCTCTGTATGGTAATTTTTATGACTGGAGAAAGGAGTATGCGGCATTAAACTGTGGTATATTTTTTTCAGACGTTTTAATTACCAAGGTATTGTATCGATTTTCGACGTTACTACCCACGTGCGAGTTAGCGTAACTGATCGACGTTACTACGTGCGAGTTAAGTACCTGATCGACATTACTACGTGCGAGTTGACGTACCTGATCGACATTACTACGTGCGAGTTCTTTCATAGTTTCGTTGAGTCCGTAAGAAGATTTCAAGTCCTATTGACATCAAACAGAGTATTGAGTTGAATTTAAGTCTGATATGAATCAAGTGAATGGAATGACGAGTTTTCCGTCTCAATATGTCCGTCCAATTCGTCGCACATAACTAACTAGACGAGTAACTCGTCAAGTTTTCCGTATTTAATATGMATTCACTGAGCTACCGATTTTAAGGATTAGCCAATATACATACTGTATTTACCAACTGTAAGATCAGCCAGTCAACCAYCGAACAATATAACCAATCAATCAAAAAGAAAACCAAATCCTCACTTAACCAAACAAGATATATAACCCAAACACTATCCAATAAAATAAATGAATGAACAAACTAACAGACAACAACTGACACAGCAACAGCARCAAYCACAACRACAACAAMGATAATGACCGAACAATAAGTAATGGCCGAACAAAACTCACCTTAAGAAAACTTTTAATCAGAGTGTAAAGTCTTTCTGAGCACGATGTGTACAGGCAGTTGTCTTTSCTGATTCCATTTTCRTCAAGAGTTTTGTCAACAACCAGTCTAAGCCTCTGAAAACAAAATATAGATTCGTATTACTATCATCATCATCATATGAGTTATCACAGTTATCCGTCATACAATATCTCTTATATACCCTCTTGTGTCTTTGACTGCGTGTTTCATGAGCTTTTGTGAGTTCACTACTGTTTTCTAAAGAAAAACGAAGATAAAGTCARTGGATTGCTGTATACATGTTTGACTAGTGAGTTTACCTTCTTTGCTTGCAGGGGAATCAGYGCGTTTTCGTTTTTGTTTCGAGGTTTGGCTGGATGATGGAGATTTTCTCTTAGTGGTTGATCTAAAATGAGATTTTAAACGATATTATTGCCTAAAAGTCATAACGTTTGCGCGAAGAAAAAAACAGTTTACCTGCTTTGCCGGGGTTCTTTTTTTGCTGCACTTTCCAATACCTTGTTCTTCGGCTTCAGCTGAGCTGCAGTTTTCGTCTTTTTAGGAAAAGTTCGTGGAATGAGTTCACTGCTTAATGACAAAGTTTCCTGCCTTATAACGCTGTTTTGTGTTTGAGAGAGCTGAGTATCTTTTGATAGAGACGAACTGGAATCCAAGCAGTACCTGGAAATATGGAAACGGCACAATTAGAAAAGGAGGAAAATCTACCCCAAAACATGGTACAACGGCACTTACTCAACTCCGTGAAATCTTTTCATCAACGATTCAGGGTAATGTGTTTCTTGTATTGTCGCTACGAGGAAAATGAAAAGCATTTCTTGTTATAAATTAGCTACCTGAATGTCGATGTGCTGTGCGCATTACATCGATGGTGGAATTGAAATACAGTACCAACCCTCTGTTGTATTGATGTTGATGTAATTCTCTGATTTATTCTACAATATAGAAAAAAGACGTAAAAATGACTAATTGAAAGAAAAAATTCATGGATTTTACTTACTGTAGGTCGTAAAGGAGATAGATCATCTTTTGCTGSTCTTCCATCGCGTCGAAAACGTTTWAGAATATCCTTAGCACTAATAGAAAACACTGAAACAAAAGACGATGTTAATATTGAGAGTAAAGCTAAGAAAGAACGAACGAGATGTGATATAAACAGTCGCAAGTAACAACAAAAAAGTCAACACACCGTCTTCAAGAGGAACGGCGAGAGACTTCCTTCGTGCTTGCCTAAATCAGAACAAAAATATAACAAATAACATATGTAAGGTTTCAGTCAAAAAACTGCTTTTTTACTTACAGTTTAGATGGGTCTTTGTGCATCAACCAGAGTCTTTCGCGCCATAGTCTTGGTGAAGTTGTTAAATCTACATGAAAAAGAAAATGAAAAAGATGTCAGCAAACAAACGCATAAGTAACAATTTAGTTAATTGAATACATTGAAAAGGAAGAAGGCCACACACCTGAGCCACAACGTAAATTTTCGTTCGTCGAAGTCGTTGATAAGTCGAGGTGAAAACTATTTTGTGAATTAAGAYTCGAACTGAAATGACACAATCAATGCTTAATAAATACCTGTTTCCTTGCATGAACAACAAAACTGCACAAAAGTTGTTTTCATTAAAACTTGGCAGTTTGCACAACAAGGTACAGTGCGCGCGATACATGATCTCAGGAAGCACATACCTATTATCAGGTGGGCAACTTTTCTCAGYCGAGATCATTATTTCACATAAACTCTTGTTTGTAAGCGGTTCATTTGTATTTGTTAGTTTTTCTGTTAAAAGAGTAATTGTAACATTATTTGAAAGAAATCAATCCTTGTGGTACTAAAAAGGAAAGGTGGCAAGTTCTTACCAATTTGATCGCGAACGTCCTGTAAGTAATTTAAATCAGCCTCTTTCTGGTCTTTGATGAAGTTGTCGGTCAGATCCTTAAGGAAAAGCTCGTTTCCTGGCAGAAAGGGAAGAGAAAGAAGCCMATGATTCATTACTATCAAAAGTCTTCTTGTCAATCATCCTGATGGGACGTCTTTTTATCGCAACTCTACAGAATAATCACTTGAATTCAAATTAACTATTTCATTACCTTGTCGAGAATTTTCCATAATTTGTTTTCCTCTGGTCATATTTTCAAGGTGTTCATATAACCCTCCATTGATCGACTCAGTTTTACGAAATGGGTAAATACACACATCGTCTTGGTGGTCCCTGTCAATCACGCACAGTCGTCTAGCAGAGCCACTTTTTGATGAATTGCTGCAATCTAAATAGAATAAATAAGCTAGTCTTCTTACGTTTAATGATAAAGTAAACATTCGTTTTGATGTGATAACAAGTATTGAGGATATATCTCACCCTGCTGTTGTTCRTCATCAGTTGAAGAAATAACAAAYTCCATCCAAGATTTAAGATTAGTTTTGCAGRATTTTTCAGGTTTGGGTTTTAATGTAATACACGCCAACAAGCACAGTCCCTGTGAAATGCAACAGAAACTTTAGCAAATTGTAACACTTCCTTTTGTCGCGAAAAACTAAAATTGCGGAATWGCGAGTCTCATACTAGTAGCACGCTGCGACAAACAGCGCAAGGGCACCGCAAAAAGAAAAAAGATTTACCTTTGCAAATGCATGCTTTAATTCTTGAAGGAATTGTTGCAAGTTTAAATCGTTCTCATAAAGTAAACGTCTGAATATGTATATTAAGTCAAATACAATGATATTTTGCCCTAATAATTTTCGTGTCTTTTTCAGAAGCTTAAGGTGTTTTATTCAAAGATAATATGCGATAAAGGACCCTTTATTTCTTTTAGAATAAAGAAAATTTGATTCGGTCGAAATGGTAGAGGGCGCGTAAACCTCTCTACTAACACTGTAAGGATGTTTATATTGTGCATATAATTTGTAAAACAAAAAATATAGTTCACTTGACTGGAACTATTTTAATGTGTGATAGAGTAGTTAAGGATACAATCTTAGCTTGAAAGGCAAAAACAAAAATATTGGAATGCTGTTTCTTGGAGTAAAGTGAAGAAGTTGAATGTCAGATAAAAGTAAAGATGGTTGACTATTTGGGGAATCCACCCTGCAAGATAAAAGAATAACCAATATAAGCAAAACATTGACTATTATTTGGAGGAATACAAAGCCAATAAAAATTAATGTTGGTCATTCTTACCTGTCTGCAACATATTCAAGATACAATTTCCTCCTGTTTTTGACATCATGAATTAAAGCAAATCCAGGCAAAGATAGTAATTTATTTTCCTGCAAAAAAGAATGATAGCAGCAATTATCCAAATGACAAAAGACAAGATAACAAAGGCAAAYTATGATGATAATATCAATAATAAGCCTGAAAGAAAAGGAGAATTATATTAATAGAGATGTTGGTGATCATGGAAACGATAATGACGATGGTGACAATGCCACTGCTGCTGATAATGATGATAAAATAGGGAATAACCATGGTTACCTCATTCCCCATGTAAGTCAGAGAGCCATGCCATATCGGCATATCAGGTAACATAAAGTCATCTTGTTTGCAGATRGTAAACACTAACCACTTCTTCCATATATCCAGAAAACTACCCCTAATAAATAACACATCACTTTAAGACAGTTACTTGAYAGCAAAGACCAATATGATGACTTTCTTACTTCATTATCTCTGGACCACTTGATACAATCTCAAGAAGTGCATTGTGACATTCTTGTAAYCTTTTYAGRGCTCCAAACAATGGTAGAGTGTTGCTAGGATACAAACAATCACCAGGTGTAATATTAACAATCTTTACAAAATGTAATACTCTGTTAAACAAAATGGCTTTCAAAAGAGGTACCAAATCATTGGCTAATACTTATGACAAAATAATTTTATTACCTGGTATTCAAATCATGACAATCAGGCAGAATCCAGTAAATCTGGACAACAGCATCACCTGGTGTATGGATGGTGAGATACAATGTAATTCAAACTACAGTCCATAAAACTTAATACAAAAACATTGTTTTATTAAACCAAACCTTTATTGGGAAGAAGGTCAGTAAGTTGATGCAAATGCTCAACAAAGCTGTCATTATCATTGTCATCATCTTCTTTGGATACAGAATCATGCATTTCTTTGAGTCTTTATATACAAAATAGGTAAAACAACAAGAAAAATGGAAAACAGTTATTATGAAAGATTGTGATCATCTATCATTAGATGTGTGTGTGGAAGCAGAATTAAAAGTAAAAGAAAAATGGTGATACATAATAAAAGTGAATAAAGAATGGAAGGAGAGAGATAGAGAGGGAAGGAGAGCAAGAAAGTTAAAAATGAAAACATYTTGATTTTACCTATTATTGGGCAAAGTTTTTCTCTGTAACATCATTTTTAGCTTTTCTAGATTATCAAKTAGCTGTCCCTTCTCCCCATTTTTTTCTTTGTTAAACTGTAGCCACGAGGAAGTGTTTATAATCTCTGAAAACTAAATAAAAATATCAAGGGAGTATACATAACAAACAAATTAGTGCTTTGAAATATGTATATCATGAAAATTACCTTAATTAAGCTCTCAGCAAAATGTGGACAGCTGAGTGCAAAGTTCAGGTGATGTTTACTTTGAAGCAAGGCAACAACAGGATCTATAGTTAAGGCAAACAAAACGTTGATACGATATACTAGTAAGACAAGTAATTTTAGAAATCACGTACCTTCGTTGTTGCTACTATCTGTAAAGTATTCGCAACTATTTCTTTTAGCTAATCGTTTTAACTGATCCAGAACTAAAGAAWATCCTTGATACAAGCCATGGCAATAATCTTGAGCTTTGAAAACAACACATATCAAACTCAAAACACTAAAATTAAGCAAGTTAATGCACTCAAACACTAAAATATGAATAACTATTACTTGTACTTTCTGTTTTGACTCCTTTTCCGAGCAATATCAACACATGAGTCTCCATATTAGCGCGATATTTTGAGAAAAACAATTTCACAAAAATTCACTCTCCATCTTGAATAAATTGAAATTTTCGCGGGTTTTGGTAATTACCACTGTACAAATATCGAAGGCTCATTAATAATACTTGCTTACTGGGGTAGGCTGATAAGGAAATCTTCCATCCTTAGAAACATATTCAAAGAAGACCATATACTTAAATCAACTCATAAAATAGATAACTGTAGAACTATTAAAGAATTCAATTTACTGATTTTGTWTTCCTCTTTCCATGAAGGCTTATGCTTTACAAGTGGAATAATGATACCCTCCCCTCCCCCTAAAAGTATTTACTTAAAATGTCTGCCCGAACCAGTCTCTTGTCCAAGCTGAGCTGAGTTATCGAGTTTCTTGAAAAGAATTTCTCGCGAAGATGGGTGAAGTTACTTTGGAGTATTCCCATGTTAAAACTAAGTCTGATCCTAAAGATCGAGGCTGTCTAGTTATTGGTAATGTAGTCAATCTATCAACGGTGTCTTACGATGATTTTGCTGAAAAATTACAGACAGGCGTTGATGCCAAGGTAAAGATCATCAGCTATTTTGAATATTTAGTGACCTTTCAATATTATCTTATCACAAGACTGAACAATGTAAATCATGTGGTTTTATGAGATTTATCAATTTTATTGTAAATATCAGTTTATTTTTAACGATCAATCTCAACAGAGTAAAGTTCCACTTACACTAGATTTATCGACTTTTGTGCTTTGTATTCACAATAATTCTTGTATATTATATTGCACTTCGATCTACTGTAACATGATATTCAGTTTTAAAGGGAAGACCCTAAACCCCTCCCCAAGCAAGACATAGATGGGACCCAGGCAGTCCTTATAATATAATTCAAGATCTCATTGGCTACAATACAGGGTTCCATAAATATACAATTGTTATTTCCAAACAATGTCTTCTAATCATGGCTGCATCTATTAGAATATTAACAGTGTTGATGTTAATAGACTTGATTCAAAATTCCAAGTACCCAAAATCCCCTTTGGCCTTGTCTACAAGGATTTAAACCTGACAATGTCAGTTTGGTGTATCTAATGTGGGTGTTATCATACTAGGAGTCTAGGGCTTCCAGTCCTTGTAAAATTGCCACATAATTGAMGAGATATCACAACAACTATGAAAATCATATATATTTTTTCTTTCAGATGTTCAATCTTGTTTTGAAGTCTCTTGGAGATTCAGACAGTTGTAATGTGTTCCTCAATCAAGTTGTTGTCTGTGCTCTACCTTCAAATGCAAGCAGACATAATTCTACRTGCCATCCTCATGTTTTGAAACTCTTTGTTAAGTCAAACTTGCCATCAGGAAATGCATGCATTGTGGTAAGAACACAGGGATTTCCATAGCAACTCAGTATAGAGGTCTATAGTATTTTTAGTTTTTGTTACTCTTTTTCATTTTCATTGTAGGTGGTTTGTGAAAGGAAGGAAGCTTTTGCCTGTGCATGCACCATAGCWAGGTGTTTCCCCTTGTATTCAACTAAAACAAACCCCAAAACACCAAGAAAAATCACAGTTGAATTCATCTTGGTTGATGGTCCACCTTTGACAGAGGAAGATACCAAATGCATGACGACTGCAGCAGAAAGTGTCCGCTTGTCAGCAAGAATTGTAGACACTCCCTGCAACGACATGCATACTGACATATTTCTTGAGGTAGTCATTCATGAAGTATAGTTACACATTCGTTATTCACTAAAATCATTTTCATTTATTCATTCAATCATTCATGTATCTTCATATTTTCATTCTTCCTCCCATTCGTTTATGCATTTATCCTGTCTATTTATGTCTATATTCTTTTGTAATTCACTCATCCCTACTTTCTGTGTATTTAGGAGGTGAGAAAAGTTGGAAGTGAACTAGGMATTCAGCCTACCATCATCCAGGGGGAAGAACTTATGAAGAAAGGCTTTGGAGGTGTGATGCTGTATTAATCATTCTCAAAAATCAAGCATTTCGTTTGCCAATCAGATAATAAAATAGACATGCAGCTAATAAATATGTTTCATATTCAGTCAATCAGTCAGTCTATCAATCCAGCAATCAATTTAGTTATTGCCCATGTTAATCTAACTGATTATTTCACTAGGAATTTATGGAGTTGGCAARGCTGCAGTTCATCAGCCTGCATTAGCCATCCTTAGTCATACTCCAGAGGGTGCAAATAGGACCTTTGCATGGGTAGGGAAGGGCATTGTCTATGACACAGGAGGTCTGTCAATCAAAGGCAAGGTAAGGCCTTTCAATAGATAGATGTCAAACTACTTTTGTTTTGCAAATGCAATTAATTACCTGTAACTTTGTTTCAATTTTCAGTTTTATGAGGAAGCTCTGAAGGGGTATTGAACAAATTATATGGTCTTATTTCTTTTAGACAGCAATGCCTGGAATGAAGAGGGACTGTGGTGGAGCTGCTGGTATCCTTGGAGGCTTCAGAGCAGCTGTCAAACAGGTTTGTGTCATGAACAAGAGTGTTAGGCATGATCTAACTAAAAACTACCATGAGTTAGATATCCTAGCACCAAAATTAACATTTATTAACATTTAACATTTCTGATTGGTTTAGGGTTTTAAGGAAAATTTACATGCATTGTTTTGTCTTGCTGAGAATGCTGTTGGTCCTAATGCAACCAGGCCTGATGACATTCATACATTTTACTCTGGAAAGTAAGTAATTTTCTTTACCTATATGTCTAAACTTTAATTTCGTTATAAATGTTGGAGGTTATTTTTCTGCAGAACTGTTGAAATCAATAATACTGATGCTGAAGGTCGACTTGTTCTGGGTGACGGAGTAAGTTACGTCTAAATTACTATTATTCTGTAAATATACCTATTAAAAGTCTAAAAATGCATTTCCAAGAATACTGACTCACATCATAGTACATTATGTTTTGGTCATTTTATCTCAGGTTTACTACGCCAGGAAAGACCTTAAGGCTGACGTTGTTCTTGACATGGCGACACTAACAGGTGCACAAGGCGTAGCAACAGGAAGGTTTCATGCTGGTTTATTGACAAACAAAGAATCATGGGAAATTGCTGCTGTCAAAGCTGGAAGAGCATGTGGTGACTTGGTGGTGAGAGAATATTTTGTACAAATTATAACAGTTACTGAGAACAAATTAATACTTGAGCAATGATTATATTTTGAAGGAAAGTGCTTTAATTATAAACCCAACAATACTTTTTTTTTCTTGATAAAGAAATTGAATTGTCTCTAGCTTGAAAAAACAAATTTAATGCAACATCCTAGCTGCAACTTTAAAATTCTTTTTTTATTTTTTATTTTACTATATTTTATGTATGATTTTAAGTGTGAATTGTGTATTGTGACAGCATCCCCTGCCGTATWGTCCAGAGTTACACTTCTGTGAGTTTTCAAGTGTTGTAGCAGACATGAAGAACTCTGTCAAGGTACACATTACTTGGTGCTTGAAAGTTCAAATGATGGGTGATTATTCATGTAAAAAGCAGTGGARCTCYCACTTATCCTGTTCCTCTCTGATGCATTTCTTTAGTTGTGACTAACATTACTTCTTGTTTCAGAATCGTGACAATGCTCAAAGTTCCTGTGCTGGCTTGTTTATAGGCAAGGCACTTCAGTACATTTTCATTGAGTATTTAATGATAGTAAAACCAAATAAGAATAAGAATTATAATTATTTATAATTGTTATTACTACTAGGAGCACATTTGGGCTTTGACTACCCTGGTGCATGGATCCATATTGATATGGCAAGTCCTGTTGAAGCAGTAAGTATTTCCATGTTATCGGAGTTAATGTAGAAACTAGTGCCTACATTGAACCATTGAAAATAATTTTTCATTCACAAAAATACCAAATTCTTGGTTTTGACAGATTAATTCTCCATTTTACAGTTAAATAACAAGACTTATCGTATACTAATGTTAATATTGTTTCATACAGAATGAAAGGGCTACAGGTTATGGTGTGGCACTACTATTGACGTTGTTTGGAAAAAGTAGCTCAAGCTCCTTGTTGCAAGAACTTGCTCCAGAACAACCATCCAAAGAAGCTGCATGACAAATCAAAACTCCTTAGGCCATGTAAACATGTCTAGAATTTTACTTAATCATTATTATTCTGCCTTTATATAACCTAACATCATTCATGCCTAACTTGCTGGGAAAGATCTCAGGGTGACTGTCTTTTTGTCATTATGAATGAGTATAACAATTGTCTTAAATTTATAAAATATGAAAACAGAATGTATTTCTGATTAATATTCTGATTATTATTTAATAATAAATCATTTTCAATCAAATTACAGCAAGTTGTAGCAATATTGCTTTATTTTTATGCAAATATTCAATACAATCTTTAACACATATTGTCATTTTTTTTGTCTATTTGATAGCTCTGCAATACTTTCATCATCATCATTATCATTACACATGTTAAAAAAGGCTTATATTGAATCACATCAATCATAAATTATTGGTCAGATTATAGTCAGTTATACTGTACATTGAGAATCTTGTTTACCAAGCATAATAAGCCAAATAAATTGTTATCAAACACCCTCTTATGGAGAAGGGAGCTCAGTCCCATAATTTATATACTGCAATTACTGCCACTTATTCAGCAAAATAACAGAGAGCGTAGCTCAGTTCATCAATATCTTTGTACTTGTTCAGATATCATTCAACAGAAGTATTTTTTGTGGTTCTCTGTACTATCTTGAAAAGTAAGTATATCTTTGCATGCAAGACAACTTATCAGCATGCAATGTCAGATAAATTCTTTCATACCAACACACAATCATCCCAAGCACACTGGTCTTCTTGCTTTTGTGTAAAGGAACCATATYWAAACCATTTCAAKATGATTCAGGGAACCTTGAAGACTATTGCTGTAAGTCCGTTAGCAAATAGAACATGCAGTGTGATCCAATCCCTCTCCTAGTAATCTGTTAACCAAGGCTCTTGTCAAGTATGCTGTTGTGCCACCTTTGCCTTCAGATGGTGTGTTGTAAAAGCTTTCTCGGGTCTGACAGGAAATATTGTGATAATCAATGAAAAAGTGCCTCTATCAAATCTATGAACATCATTTACTGCTACAAAGCACCAGTTGTTATTTCCTTGTTGCTATTATTCAATTAATAATGCAAGGTTGTGAATACTTACTGCTGGTTTGCCTTGTTTTTCCTGTTCTACATAAAAAATGTTGATGGCATCTTGTAGTATCTGTCAAAAGATAAAAAACACTGCATAACCAAAACACATTCTAATCTACATTGACTATGAATTTGCATGCATATRCACTGAATGTTACTTACTGCATCCAAGTCAACACATCCTTCAAACTTCACTTCTGGATTACGCTGCAATATTGTTGCCAATACCACTATCAACTACAACATCATTAAAACATTGTTTTCTTTAGCTCTAAGAAGTTTTAAAAGTCTACTGTCTTCCTGTTTTTCTAATCTGTATCACTTACTTCAACAATCAGTTGTCTGTGTTCTGGGTTTGATATGCCATTTAATAATTCCTCTACTTTAAGCTGAAAGTTTATCTCGTTTTGCGTCATGTCAGATATTGTAGGAAGCTGTAAGATAGGAAATACTAATTAGTCAAGCAATGTTAAATGTCTATATCAACAGTGCCAAATAGTTTGGTGTACATTTCCTAACTGACAATGGGAGGATCCAGAAATTTGTGGGGGGAGGGGGGAGGGGTTGTGTCCCTCCACTACAGGGTTCCCAGTCCCAAGATTTACCTGGTGAAGGTGATGTTGGCTGACCATGATCCCACCAGGTGAATTACAGAGTACATTCCACACTAAATAACAACAAAAAAAGCCTTTCTTCATCCACTTGCAGAAGAAAAAAAACATAMAAATATAGTTCAAGGTAACTTGCACCATGAACAAAACAAGATATTTGCTCACCTTTATGATAAAAGTCTAATGGAGTTCGATGAACAGCACCATCAAGTTGTCGTTTTTGAAGAGGTGTCCTTGCAAACAAAATAACAAATGAATGGAAAATGAAAGAAAATGTAAGGGAAACAAAATCCACAAAACAGTTATGGATCTCATGCATACATCAATTATTGGTTTATGGAAGTTGTAATTATTTACCTKGGAGTAACATCTTGACCATTAAGCTTGCCCTTTGATAGTAAAACTATTTTGAGTAGTTTCTTAACAGCACTTGGTGGCTGAGCATAAAGAGACTGCAAATTTATAGAAATTGCTAATGTTATATGACTTAACCATTATATGCCCAAACATCTGCCATTACTGCATAATCTGAAGAATACATCATTGATTGAATACTTAGTGGTTTTACTTACACCAAGGTTATTTCCATAACTTAACAGCTGCTTCATGGCCTGGATTATCCATCTAAAAGAAAAAAGGAAAATTGAATAATAAGAAGAAATACCAGCAATCTTGTATAAATATGTTATATTTTATTTACCCAATTCTAATCTTGAGCATTCCTTCAAAAACCTCAGGCATTGTAGCCATGTATGAAGCCAGGTACAAAACCATCTGAAATGTAATCAAGATATATGTTATTAATAGATAATTATTTTATCATTTTGAGTATTGCTAAGACTTAAAGCTTAGAAGAAATAATGATAATTTATTAGCCTGAGTAT